AATATAATAAAATATTTGATACATCAACACCAACAATTGCTAAAACAACGATACCACATACCATACGTACAGCTGATAATCCTCCTGTGAATTCAAGACCGTACCGTGGATCAGAACAACAACAACATGCTCTTCGTAATATTCTTAAAAATATGTCTGCAAGTCATCAGATTCGTCCTTCCACATCTCCATGGTCGTCACCTGTATTATTAGTGAAGAAGAAGGATGGTGATTACAGGTTTGTCGTTGATTATCGGAAGTTGAATAATGTCACGGTTAAGGATTCATTTCCAATTCCAACAATTGAATCAGCATTGAAACAACTATCGGGCCATTCATATTTTACGAAATTAGATTTAAAAAGTGGCTACTTTCGAAGAACAATTTGAAGGACCATACCGCATTACTGAACAAAAAGGTCCTGCAACATTTGTGGTCAAACTTGAAGATCCAGAAGAAGATGATAATCCTAATTTCACTAAGCAAGTTACTACATGTGATATGAAACGTGTTATTACGCGCGATATTTGATTATTCTTTGGTTATTCCAAGTTATTGTTTAACGTTTCGATGAGCGGGACCCTCATCTATTGTGAGGAGGGAGGTGTCATGTGCTATTCACTAAGAACTGGGTTTTTTCCCACTACGAAAAAGAAAATAGGAAAGATGGGTTTTCTCCCACTACGAAAACCAAACATAGATGGCTTTGTACTTTCCTTATCCAGGCTGTTTTATCATTGTTCTCTTATTCTTCTACGTATTCTGTCTTTATTTGTTCATACTAAATTTCTCTTATGCTCTCTCTTCTTTCCACTATATATACACATGTATTTTCAGTTCAGGAGCAGGCAGATATTTTTCATTTTACTGTAGTTATCCATTTGACAGTTTTCATAATAAAATTAAAGGAAAATATTTCGGTTCATTATCATGGTTGCATTATGTATCTAACACGATGGTATTGGAGGTATTGTAAAACGTCTTGTGTGGTCAGCTATACTAGCAGGAGGAGTGTGTCGATCAGCTGAGATTTTATTAAACTTGCAGAGAAAAAACTAAGAAAATCATTCTGATTCAAATCACGAGCAGTGACATTGATAACTCGAAAACCAAACTTGAAAATCTTTTCGAAACGGCAAAATCTGTTCCAGAAACATTAAAAATGCATTCAGTTAACGTAGTTGATGAAAATGAATTAGAATTTCGCTATTATTCTACGTGTTCTGAAAAAAAGACTATAACATATTGATAGTAAATATCTACATTTTTAGTACTTTTGTTTGACTTTGTTTTTCTCACTATGTTTGCATTTAGACAGTCGATGAAATGTAGAAAAACGTTTTCTTCACCCTAGATTTTGTTATTTTATGCCAATAAGACGAAAAGAAAATAGTAGAAAAAGCACTTCGCTGATATCACAAAAAAAACAAAAAAAATATCCAGCTCAAAGGAGGCCGGGTCTTCGTCCCGAGCTGGAGAAACACTAGCGTTTAAGATAGCGTGCACTTATATTCTAGTGGCAAAGAGCCTCTGAGTATGTTTTAAACGTATAGCACAGTTCACTGCAGCAGGAAATATGGAGTCTAACAGACATCTGAGAGGCCTTCACACATACCAACGCGATCTTTAGTGATAAGAGTCGTAGAAATGTCTCTCTGAACGTTTAAACAACGTGCTCAGACGAATTTACATCAAATAAAAAGTATATGTCAATTTTCGGAAAAAAGGTGTCACAGAGTTACGTTTGTTTTTTGCATTTTCTACTCGAAAAAAAATAGTTCGAAGAAATCTTTTTTTACCATTGAAAAGCTCATCGAACGCTCTACAAAATTTGCTCTTGTGACATTTAATTTGGACAGCGACTTTCGCAGGAAATTAGAACTTAAGGAAGAGTACTTCAGATTTAGGGTCCTTTTATGTCACAGCGTTACGCGACTAAAAAGTATTTCTAGAGGCTCCAGACTTCGACCAGAACTATTCATTTTTATAGCATAAATAGAGCATGATGAGCTGCGTCAAATGGCGTTTGAACCAACTCCCTAGCTCTTAAACTTTCCGAGATAATTGAAAAATAGTATGTCAAAAACGTCACAGCGTTACGCTTGGACAAGCCGATAGACAGAAATACTCAGCGCTTTCTAAGGAATCGAACGGTGTATAAAAGCGTAGTGGGTACTTCCATACAGGTCCGCCCACTTTATACACGACTTAAAGCCGGGATGGTTTGACTATATACAGGCACTTGCATATTTCTGTCTGCAAATGAGATTTTCTCACCTGATATTCGGAAAGATTTTTTGACTGGTGGACCCCATCTATATCAGCAGATATCACTCGTTTTATAGCATGTTGGACGAGCTCAAAATCTAACAAAACTTAACTTTAACTTAACAAGCGAGAACTTAGGGAAAGAATAAAAATTTTCTATGTTAAAAATCAAATCTACTATTTCATTCATTTATACACCTATTAGTCTTGGCGCGTATTGTAAAAATTTTCGTTTTTCATTAATCACTGCTGAGAACTCAACCGATGCATATTTATCACTAAGGTACTAAAAGGCCAAGCAGTGATGCATAGAGATTTTTCATAGGGTAGGGCTACAAACGCGTAAGGTATTGACTTTGGTCAGGTAGTTTTCTTGTGGCGGTTTCTAAAAATTTCGTCAAAATCCTATCATCTGCTTAAGGTCAGGAATGGGACAAAATACTAAATTAACCATAAAATGACATGCGGAATCCGAATTTCAAATCAGTTTGGATTCAATATTTAAGAGCAATTGTGGATTTTGACGGGATTTCTAGAAAACCGCCACAAGAAAACTACCTGGCCAGAGTCAATACCTTACGCGTTCTGTAGCACTAGTCGAGTAGAGTGTGGGCTATCAAGATCTCGACGAACTGATGTGTGGTTTTCGAGGGAGGAAGCCAGGACGGGTCAAAGTAGGTCTCGGGGCTACGCTTACCATGAAGAAATAAAAAGCGTTAGAGACTTCATTGTTGCGTCATACGAACAAACGTGGAAGTCGCTTTCATTTGAATATAAATAAAGTTAAGTTTTGTTAGATTTTGAGCTCGTCCAACACGCTATAAAACGAGTGATATCTGCTAACTTATGGCCGAGGAGAAACCTTTGTTTTCTTTGTTAATTCTTTAAATATTGGGACAAATATTGGCAGGTGTTAACTGAATCTACAGATGGGGAGCTACTTTTTGAACAGGCCGTCTTAAACTTTCACAGAAGTTCTTGGCTTTTTAAGGAACAGCCAATTAGATGTTCACATAGATCAAAAAGATTTGTGGCTCATCCGTCTATTCTCGAGAAATGTGTACTTTGGTGTGCGGACAACGCCTCTAATGACGCGGTCCCAAGTTTTGATATAAACGATGTAGGACTATTATGTGAATTTCCTGAGACCTTCTAAAACTATTTTTTCGTTGTTTTATTTGTTTGTTTTTTTTCAATATTAATGATACTCATTATCTATCTACATCTTCTGTATTCTTTATAGTTCTACAATTACAGCTGGCATACCATTTAAAAAAGAAGAAAATATTATTGATATAGTTGTTGAATTAGGAAATTCATTAGGTAGTTCATTGAATAAAGTGAGTTTTATGCACTACATCGTTTACCTCGATCGAGAAAACTGACAGAACAAAACAAGTAATACTTGTCAGATTTCTACGTTTCTCTGATTGAAATCAAAGGACGAGTAACTGTTTGTTACGAAAACTGGCCCAATATAAGTTTTCAATTTTATTTCGGTAAAATGACAGAACATGTTCATAGTAACTATACCTATCTCTTACTCTTTCTACAAGCTCATCTAGGGACCCCTTGGGGCGGTTAGAAAGTTGACTTTTGTATCAACAGCATGCTAATTGTATTTCTTCGATTGTAAAGTGACTGTGGAATATTTCTTTGATGAATTATATAACATTCGATAGAGAATTAAAAAGTCGATCTTTTGATAGTGAGCATACGTTGGGTACAAAACCCCTAGCGCTGCTTTACTGTTTTCTAAAGCGTATTGGAATCACATAGTGGCTAAGATGCACTTGTGACATTTTCCTTTTAAGAAGTTACAACCTGCATTTTGCATATCAGAATGTGAAAAAATGGCTTTAGATCTTAAAAAAGAGATATTGCACTTTCAGGCTTGAAAGTACCCTTTTTTAGTTTTGAAATTGCAAATGTAAATATCTCAACAATCGAAAAAGTTGTGCAATTTCAAATTTCACGGTGAGCGGGTTCTTTCGTGGTTATTCATGTTCTCCATATCGAATAACCGGCATCATATTAATTTCAGCCTTTATTGGATTCCCTACGCACATTCTTTTTATTTTTCTTCTCTTGCGGATAAGGGATCAAGCAAACAAAACATGAATTTAGTTTTATGCAATACTCCCTTCACTAAAGCGAATATGAGAATAACTTTCACGCCATTAAGAGCTTCTAAGGATGCTTGACATTTTGCTCGACGCAGAGTCCGTGTCCGTATTTATATTAGGGATGGATTACGTCTGGCTCTACATACCGAGACCATTGATATAGTCTACTCGTCTAAACTATCTGTGCTGAAAATGTTTCGGATTCATCAGTCGATTGTTCAAATCTAGCATATGGCGATGTTTTTCTTTCGCTTTTTTTATCCGTTTTTGCGGCAAAATGACAGCATATATACTTTTGAAGTTAGTGATCATGATTCTGAAATTATTTTTTCATTCAATGCAGTAGTTCAGGAGATCTTTAACCCATTAATAAGAGATCTTTTTAACGCATCTAGCTCTTTACACACTAAGATTGATCATCTAGAAAAGGTACACATTTTTCGATGTGGAGTGAACATACAGAAGATTTACACACGTAGTGACACACTTTATTTTTTACAGAGTAGCCTCGATTGTCTTCTCAATCTGATCAAAAATAAAGTTTATAACAACTGTAACTAGAAACGCTTTTGTATGGAAACTGTCCTGCACTAGTGTTTTGAGTGCCTCTGGTAAAATTTTTAACTCGATCGGATGAAATTTAAGTCGTGCATTTCTTATATACGCATTATAAAGCAAATTTTCACCGTGGGAGAAGAGGAAATGTAACACGTCATTTTAGTTTGAGTTTTCTTTTTTTTAACAGAAAAAATTTATTATTTCACTTGACTTTTTCAGTAAATCTTTTATCGTGGTAGAATAAAGACATTCAAATTCAAAAAACTCAAAGAAAAAAAAACAAAGAGAAGAGTTGCAACCGTTCGAAAAACAATCGGACCTGCCGATTGAGCAATTTCTGTCGGAACGAAACGATCGATTAAAAATTTTAAAAACAGTCGGTAAGAAAAGGTTCAAAATAAAATTCAAAAAAGCGTGTAGTGCTGATGAAACCCTACTAACAGTTTCATAAAACACCCAACAGAACAGAATTGGGCGTTTTATGAAACTGTTAGCGCAAAAAAATACTTTAGTTAGGGTGTCTCTTTACTGTTCTTTACCAAGTGATAAGTAATAAAACGTATCAGTTATTACCCGAAA